TCAATCACCCTTCTCTAGCCCTCATGCAAGAAGAAGAAGATAACATAAAATTTCATTCAAATATTCATTAACCCCATACAATGATACATGACCCCTATATATAGGTCATGAGATACAAATAAATAAAAAGCACAACAATTGACTAAATCGCCCTCGGGGCCCCAACATGACTCACTCACACACAAGGGTAAAACAGGAATACTGAAAACTGAAAATGCATGAATAACTAAAAATATGAGCTCTGAATCGTGGCCATCGATCGGCGATGCTTCCGGCGATACACGTGTCTGAACCGTTGATCGATGACCTCATCATTTCTAGTTCAAAAATTAAAAAAAGTTGTTTTAAGAAGCAGAAAGTCGTCCCAAACAAAGCCTAAGACTCTTGATTTGGGAGCACGCTTTTCGTAGGCATTTATTCCATATGTTGTGAACTTCATTTCCCATCATGCTAGTGGTATGCATTGTAGTTCCTTCTGGAATTTTTGTATTTGATGTAAAAAACAAGATGCCTTCTTTTTTATATGGTTAACTTTGTTCAGAACCTTCTCTTAGACCAAACTACATGAATTTTATCATAGTTTTAGTTTTAGTTTTTTTTTTTTCTCTCTTTTTTCTGGCAATGGACCTTTTTAACTATAGTTGTGCTCACATACCTTATTCTGCAGATTAAGAAGCGTCATACTCCTCTTTTGAAGGTATCCACTAAATTCCTCTCTAGTTGTCATCTCTGATTTTCTACTTGTACTTTATTTTTGGTTATTGTCGTGAACTGTGAATATTTGATAACAAAATCTATAAAAATAAAGATCCATGATATTAGGAGAAATTATTCTGTGCGGAGATTGGACGCAGAACGCCGTTTTGAGATCAACCAAAATACGTCACATCAGCGGTACCGAGCCGCGGTACTGGGTGACATGGTGCATTTTGATTGGTCTCCGGATGGTGTTCGGCGTCCGCACAGAATAATTAATCTAATATTAGGCCCTAACATAAGGTTTTTAGCTTTCCCGCTTCCCCTTCATATATCATATATTACCTTCAATAATTTTGACCATTATATTTTTCATTTTTTCTACTATAATTTTGAATAAAAAGGCCTTTTAATTTATTATAAAGTATCCATAAATTGAAAATTATTTGACTTGAGGAGAAGTTATTTCGCAGTCATTCACTTCCATTTTTCTTTCTAATCCTGCAGGTGAAGTCTTATGCTGATAATTTCAAGTGGAAGGGCTTTCCACAATCCGAGGAAGCTTAAGTTTTTTTACTTTGTGCCTGTGCAATAGCTGCCTGCTGCTGCTTTTTTTTTTATTTTTTTTAATTTACGCATGTTTGGATTTCTAATTTGCAAGCTCTTGAAAATTGAAAATGAGAGATTTTTTTTTTTCAGTATTATTTTACAAATCATTGTTATATTTATGTTTGAATTTGTTTTTTTTTGTGCCATTTTTCAAAAATTTATGTGGAGAATTTGTTTTTTTAGAAAATAAATGTTAATGTCTAATTTTTTGTAGAAAAAATTTAAATTCTCACAGTAATTAAAAAAAAAATATAATTTCTTAATTAATTTTAGGCCAAAATATAAAATGGAGCATAACATAAGTCAGAAAATTCATTGAGGGGGGCTTAAATTATTTTATTAAAAATTTTTATCAACTTTTTTCATCCGGGCTTGAGATTGGCATAGACATATTTTTTTTTTTTCAATACGAGAATTTGACTTTTAATAGGACACAATGGAGAAAAAGGATTCATGTAGCCGACCCCACGTAGTGGGATAAAGGCTTGATGTTGTTGTTGTTGTTGTTGTTGTTATCTAAAAATGTATAATATTAAATATAAAATAGTAAACAACTTACAATTTATAACGTCTACTCTTCATATTATGAAAAAGTTAAATGATTACTTCGTTATCAATAGATTTATTGCGTCATGGAATATTCGCGGCGGTAGAGAAGTATAAAGTTTAACATTTTAGCATTGTATGAAGATCCAACACACAAACAGATGAAATATACATCATATAAAGTGCATTACATGATGGGACTTGAAAGAATCACTATATAATCGCTTTGAGTCTTCGATTTGGACCTATTTGAACTCGAATTGGGTCGAATTTGGTTTTGTTGGATTCGTATTTTCGAGACATTCAATTCGGCTGTAAGTTTGCCAAAATCAGAGTTCAGGTTGTTATATCCAAAATTTCAAGTATGTTAAAATTCTAATAATAGTTTGAGCTTTTATTCTTTTCTTAATATAATAATTTTTTTTAAAAATTATTGCTAAATTAATTACTATGAAAAGTATTTAATAATTACGGTAATGAGATATAATTATAAGTATTGTTTAATTGGAATAACTTTAGTACTAATTATTAGTATGTACTATTAGTTAATAAAAATGTTGGCTCTAAAGCAATTCTAATATATAGTAATTATAGTGTTTCGTACTTCAGTACAGCATTAAGGTTATATTAATTAATATTTTTCCTATGTTAGCCACTAAATTGAGTTTGTAGTGGTTGATCACAATCAAATGGCACGGAAAGAAATATTCCCTATTTCCTATTATCTGAACCGTGGCTTATAAGGACTGAAATGACGTGACATAGAGCAGTTATTCTAGAGATTTTTATTCCTTATCCACTCTGTCACGCAAGCCCTTTCTCTATTCTGATTTCACGGAAGCCAACAGAGGAGTGTATTCGATGCTGTATTGAATATGTAATGGGCGACGCAGTGGAATTTTCTGATGGATCCGTAAGCATGCAGGCGACTCAGTGATTTGGAGTGATATGTTTGTATAGTGAGCAGCACTATGCAGTAAAGCAAAGTTCGGCACAGTGTAATAGAGGAGTTTGGTTGTGCAAAAGAAAATATCGCAGAAATTCTGTAGCAGAAGGCGGACAATGGAGGGGTTTTCGAAAGTGCTGAGAAGAGAATAAGGAATTTCTGTGAAAGGGAAATCGTAGGGAAATTGTAGTGAAATAAGAGGTAAATATTTTGACATATTTTCAGTATCCATTTATATTTATACAAAGTGGTGCAAGTTCTTAGTGTGTACAATTATAAGTTTAGGATTCATCAAAATCATTAATGCAAAGGAGAGGTTTCAGGGTGACTTACAATCGTGGTAGAGATTTGGCTGAGACGACTGGGCAAAGAGGTAAGTAATGCAATTTAAAGTTTAAAGAAAACTTTTATAAATTTGATATTGTATCAATCTAAGGAAAATAGGCACTACTAGTTTGTTTCTTTTTTTCTAAAAGATATTCATAGTCAAGTTTCCATGTATGAATACCCACTCCCATAAATTCATTATGTGAGTTTAAATAAAGATTTATTATGTCATTTAAATGTTTTTCTTGTTAATAATATTTTGGAAAGAGATCATTTTCTTTACTTATAATGTGCATATTCATTTTTATACAATGAATGAATAAGAAAACATGCAGCAAGTGTAGTATGGATAATGAAAATGAAAAGTGTACTGAATATCAATTTAAAAGTAAAGTTTGGCTAAAGATTTATGTATAACTTACCAATGCAGGTGGGGCAAAAGGGTCCCCATATATTAAACTGTTTGGTAAGTGGGGCAAAAGGGACCCCAAGGAAATGAAACCTGCAAAGCAGGTGGGGCAAAAGGGACCCCAAAGAGGCAAAAGAGACCTCTATGTAATTCAATGGCGATAATGCCAGGTTTACCTGGGCTCCATTGAATATGTTTATGAATAAGTAGCCAAATCTTTTAATGAGTAAAATTGATATTCAGTATGAATGCAAGAATAAATTCTGGGTAATGTCAAATGAGAATTTATGAAGTTTGCTCTAGTAGTTTAACTTTATTTATATATTCAATATTCAAAATTTTATAATCATGTAATTTAAATGTTATTTCATATTGCATCACTTATGGAGTCTCATAGCTCACCAGTAGTTTATTACTGGCTGTTGTTACAGGAAAGGGAAAGGAAAAGATTGAAGAAGACTAATCTGCAAGTATTTTAAATTTTATGTAAATGTTTATTCTATGTTTGAGGTCTACTTTTGAGGTTAGTAAACAATTTTAATATTGTATTACTTTGAATTTGTTTGGTTTTTCTTAGTTGCTCTGTACTAGATTTTGGATGAAACTTGGGAATTGTTACATGCTTCCTTTATTGTATTAGATGAAGTTTATATGATCTTTTATATAAAGTGGAAATGTAATGATATGAAAGAGGTGTTAAGTGATGGAAATGTTATGTTTATTCTTGTTATACTCTACCTTACTGGTAAGAGGTACTGTGGGGTATTACAAATGTATATGGAGGAGCCGATCGGCCTCTCAAATAGTATATCAACTTGTATCTTGGTTTGTTATGCTGAAATAAATATTTTTCTTATTGATTTATGCTACGTTTTCTTTTCATTGTTACTGTTTTTGTCGTTTGAAGATCGGATACCTATCAATATGTCACTACATACTTACCCCGTTATATTAAGGAGAAACTTACAATAGTAATTGAACATACTCGGTTAGCATGCATGATGTTTGGTTGAGTGAACATATGAAATGCCACATATAAAATTGCTAGAAATTAGTAAATCTTCATAAGCACGTAATTTCAACAATAGAAGAAGAGATAGCCAAATCTGATACTGCATACTTACCCCAATAGCTTTGGAAAAAACCTGTCATGGTTGTGTTAAACAAAAAAAAAAAAAAAAAAAAAACTTGAAGCTTGAAATGAAGTACTCTCTAAACAGGAATAATGGCATTCATTTGTATGAAGTTCTACATTGCAACGAAACATGCTATGCATTTTTCATATATGAGGTCATTAAAATAAAATGCTATATTGGTTAACTTCACCGACTTGGCATATTGCACAATCTAGGCAGCAGTTTGAACCTAATGTAGCAAAATTTCGCACAGTAAAAGAATTGCTTAGATGTTGATAAAACCACGGCAGAAAATGAGATTATCCAACTTATGCAAAAGGGAACATAAACGGAATGCAGATGGTAACTTACACACGCTGCGAAGATAACAGCAATCGATAAGATCAGATAGCCGATTTGGGAGTTAAACTCGTCGACAAGCTGGGGTGAAACAAAAACTACAAACAGGATCACTGGAATTACTATCAGGCCTACAGTGAAAAACAGTGACCTCACATCTGGACCAAAAATGAGCCTCCCACCAAGGAAAAACCTCTGAAAGATGCACAAGCGAATTGGTATTTTTTCTTGAATGGTATAGCAGATTAGTTGCAAACAGAATCAGAAATCCACAACTTAAATCGGCATCTATAATAATATTGATGAAAACATTAACAAGGTTAATGCTGGTTCAGAAAATATTATCCAGTATTAATCTAATAGACAAAAATAAAATAACAAACTATTAAACGTTGAATAGTTAGCAAATAAATGCCCCAATTCTCAACAAATGTGTAGGCACTCTTTAGAGGGCACCAGGCAGCAGCAGTCAGTGCCGCTACGGAACTTCTGCGGAGCCTTAAGTCAAGTTGAACATAACTAGAAGAAATAAAAATAAAAATAAAAATGAATTCAAAATTAGATATCAATCTCATCCCGTGATCCTATGAAAAAAATAAATAACCAATTCATTTGTACGAACAGTATGAAAAACACAAACATGCAAATTAAAATTAACGTTTTCATACTCAGTTGGTCACTTTAAGCTATGCCAATGATGGAAAGCATTTCGGCTACTTTTCAAGTTGGTAACCTTATTTAAAAACTATTTTTTTAAAATAGCATTTTGGTTGGTTAAATTACCTAGTTTACACTAACTCGTCAATAAATTTATCAGCATTATCATCATTAGTCTTATCCTAACAATATAGGATGGTTATTTTTTAAACTCTCATTCTCAATTTGTTTATATTTTGATTTGTATTTATGTTGCGATTTGTATGAGATATTCTCTCTATTTTGTGCAACTTCAAGTCTTATAACTTACAGTCTACCACGTTTATTTCCTACCCTTCCACCTTAACTTTATTTAGTTTTCAAGTTGGTGCACCTTATATCATTCAATGTACATGCAAAATCATCTAATTTTATTTTTTTAAAATTTTATCTCTAACAAGCATTTACTTCCATCACCTCCTTAATACAATCATTTACTCAAAATTTCCAATAATTTTTCATAACATTCTAATTTTTACTACACTATATTTGTGATTAATAACTTCTTTGGCACCCAACACTCAATTTTATAAAGCATAACTGGTGTCTAATTGATTTTTTCTAAAGTTTACCTTTTAAGTCAACGTGGTAATCTTTTATTTGTAAGGCATTTTTACTTTTTAATAACAATTCATAACTCTAGAAGTTATATCTCCATCTACATCCCTATTCTACTCTATAATAACTCTTAAGATATTTAAACATATTATGCCTATTGATCTTCCCAATAACATTGATGATAATAATAATGATGAGGACATCGATCCAAGGTTCAAACAGGTGTATCGCCGGAAGCATCGCAGATCGACGGCCACGATTCAGAGCTTATATTTTTAGTTATTATGCATTTTATTTTATGTATTCCTTTTGTACCCTTATGTTGAGTTGAGTCATGTTGGGGCCCTGAGGGCAATTTAGTCTTTTTTTCTCCTTGTATGCTTGAGACCTATATATATGGGTCTTTTCTCTTGTAATAGGTAATGAAGATTTGAATGAAAAATTTGTGTGTTTCTACTTCTTCTTCTTGCATAAGAGCTTGAGAAGGGAGAGAGCTCAAGGGGAGCAAATCGCAAGGCCCACCAGTCGTTGGAAGAGTCCTCGGCTCGTGGTTAGGTTTTCTATCTTCTCCTTCGTATTCACCTCCATCTTCTTTCTCCACCACAAGAAAATCCCTCCATAACCCAAGTTGCCGCCGCCCCTTGGAAGCCCGCCGCCGGCCACTTCCACGGTCCTGGCCGGCCACCTTGCCGGCGACTTCCCCCACCCGTCCAACCCCTCCTTCCGCTTGCTTCAAATTTGAAATTTGAATTTCAAATTTCAAATTCTTTCCTAATTTGGAAATCCACTTCTTTTTCCCTAACCCTAACCTCCTTCTTGCACCCGCCGAACCCCACCCTCTCTCCTTGAGTTTCCCGCCGGTCTCATCTCCTCCTCTCCCTCCTTGTCAACTGCAATTACTCTCTTTCAACACCACGTTCTTCCTCCCTCATGTGGAAAATTCTCCGACGCCAAGCATGCATGGCGGAATCCGAATGGAACTTTGGATTTGTGCAAGACATCGAGGTCAAGTCGACATCCACCAATCGCCGTTCTTTGATGTGGGCTTTGATTTCGACGACACCGTTGAAGACTACTTGAATCGCATCCTCCCCACGCTCGTAGACGTCATCGACGAGCAATTCGAGGACTATTCGTGGACCGTCAATGGCTATCCGTCCGTGTCTCCTCCACCACCGTCGACCTTTCCGTGGCTCAAGACCATCGGCGTTGCAACCTTCCTCATGGCATCGTTCGGTGTGCTAAAGATCTTCTCCCGCTAAGCCTAGTGTAGTTGAGTGATCAATCCCCAAGGTGAAACTCTCGTTATTAAATTACGGATTGTTGATTAATAGCTTTTGGTATTGCTACTATCCTTGGTTATCCATGAGTTTTTGGTTAATCTATTTGTACTCCTTCGCCTAAGCAAGTTAACAACTAAGAACCTTTAATGATTTTACTTGTTATCTCAATAAGCTCTTAATTGTAATTCCATTGTCAATCACTTTTAATTTTCTTAAGAAGCTCCTTCGCATGTGGTATCACATCAAATAATCTTCCAACAATGACTAGGAATTGTTCGAAAAATTTTACATAAAATAGATTTAACAACTCATGTAGCACTATGTAGGAAAAAATGAAAAATGAGAATTCCAAAACCTAACCCCAAACATTGGAATAAGGTTGCTAATAATACAAACAAAAAAATTCCTTTTCTTTCTTTCTTTCTTTTATTCATGGAGCAACAATTTTGTTTGAATAGAAGAAAGATGGAAGTATGAGGTTATACATTAATTATACGGAGTTAAATAAGGTGACTGTGAAGAATCAGTATCATCTACCTCATATAAATGATTTGTTTGATAAATGTCAAGGTGCTTCTATGTTTTTCAAGGTTTACCTTTGATTAGATTATCACCAATTGAAAATCAAGAGTAATAGTATGTTTAAGACTATCTTTTGATCCTGACATGATCATTATGAATTTATGGTGATGTTATTTGGGTTGAGTGATGCCCTTGTCGTTTTAATAGATCATATGAATAGAATAGAGTTTTTATATCTTATTTATGTCACTTTTTTATATAAGTAATTGATGATATTTTGACTTCAAGAGGTAAATTTTCTTAGACATGTTATCAACAATAATAATAACATCAAGCCTTTATCCTACTATGTGGGGTCGGTTTTCATGAATTCTCCATTGTGTCCAATTAAGAGTTGAATTCTTGTTTAAATCTAATAAAAAATGTCATTTCTAATACCTTTTAACATTATTTTTTAGGTCTACCTTTACATTTCTTAACATAGACCAGATCTAATGCAGATACTCTCTTAACTGTGTCATCGGAAGGCCGACGTTTAATACGACCAAACCATCTAAGGTACTCTCTCTAGTCCTATATGCCACTGCAGCTACTTCAACCTTTTTCACATATATACTCGTTTCACATTGTCTCTAAGAGTAAAGTCACTCATCCACCTAAGCATCCTCATCTCTGCAACACTAAATTTTATGTTTCACTTTTAATGGCCAACATTTTGTGCCATAAAGCATTGCAAGTCTCACCACCATCTTATAAATTTATTCCTTAAATTTGAGGCAATCTACTTTACCCCACTCGATCTCTCGTATCGGGTGGGGGAAACCCGTGACTAGGTCGTATATATTGCTACCCATCGGGGTGTGCTGGCGACAGCATCCATCCCCAATGGTTAGTCGTATGCGCGATCCAATCTGCCCTCCCATCGACCTGTTCGTGTCGAGCGTAGAGGCCTACGATCTTTTTGTCCTACGGGATAGTGCGGTCGTACCCTCTGCATTCGAACCCCCGCGAGCGGTGCTCCTTCGGAGGTCCACATCATGCAACAGGCTAGATTCTCCACTTCAATCATCCAACTTGAATTTTACTAATAATATCCCCGTCTATTTCACATTAGTTTGAATAACATACCTAATATATCTAAAACATGTACTCTTTTTAATGACTTTATTTTCTAAAGTCACAATTCCCTCACTATATCTATTACTACTAAAATTACACTCCATGTATTCAATTTTAGATCTACCCTAAGGAAAACTTATAGACTCTAAGATTAACCTCCATAATTCAAGTTTTCCTTCATCTCCCTCCTTAGTCTTATAAATAAGAAGAATATCATCAACAAAAAGCATACACCATGGTACATACTCTTGCAAATGTATAAAAGAACATCCATGACACATTTTAAACTGAGCTAAAATTTATATTGATCTTGCTATGATCAAGATTGATAGATTATTCGAAATCGAACAAAAGCAAAGAGATTTGTAGTTCTTTTTTGGTCTAGTTGGTTGCTATATAAGATTTGTTGAAAGTTTAAGTATTGCTGCACCCATTAACTAAATTGATTTGAAGTTTCTTAACTATTTGTGGTTTGATTCTTATGAGCAACATTTTTAGAAGATCAAGAATGACTTAGTGTCAGCTTATATTCACATCATTCCTTCAAATATTGATATGTTTCGCATCAGGGTTTGGACTATGTTCTACTAGCAACATGACAATGAAGTAGCTTATGCCTCTACGTAGCTCAAGATATATGATAAGAATTATCATACACATGACTTGGAGATAATTGCATATATTTTTGAATTTAAGATCTAAATGCATTATCTTTATGGCATTCACTATTAGATTTTTACTGATCATAAGAGCTTGGAGAATATTTTTACACACAAGATTTTGGACGTAGGGTAGAGGCAATGGCTTGAGTAAATGTACTATAATGACCTATAAATTTAGTACCACTCAAGCAAGGTTGATGTTGTTCCAGATGTTTTGAGTGGAAAATATTCAACTTACTCAACTTAGATAATCATTCAAGTGATAGTTGGCATTCAAGATAGATTGACTTCATCTTAGCGATAGTACCACCATAAAGCAAATCCATCATGTGCGATATGATTATTTAGCCAACAA